GGGTAAAAGATCAAGGGGAAGACCTCGTGGAACCTGGAGAAGAGTCACTGAAATGGTAATCGAACCTCTTTCTTTCTTCGTGAATGTTGAGTCTGTTTCTGCCCGGATTGGCCCTGACAAGCAGAGTCGAATCAGCCCGCCTTCTGAATTATCAATTTTTTGTCCATGGAACATAAAATGTATGTTTATATATGTATATATACACTCAAAGTGGGTGGTTGGCGGGTGCTCTGGTGTGGTTTGCTCCTTCTTTACTATCAAACATCTATCGTCTTTATCTCCCCTCCTTCTTTTTTGTGTTTGTTTTTCTCTTGCAACACCTCTAATCTTCGGCACTTATATGACCTTATTGTGTTGCAAGTGCCGTAAAACTCTTACGAAAACTAAAACTAATATACTCAAAGTAATAATTATTATAATCATAATAATTGGATAATAATTGGTATATGTGTGTGGGGGGGGGGGTAATTTTTGAAAGTGCTGAAGATTTGTGAGATTTTCGTGTCGAAGGTGTGTATTGTGGATAAACTGATACTCTACCGAGTTCTTGTTTCTCCGTCGAAAATCATGGTGTCTACCCTTTCTGTTGTGCAAGAGAGATTTTAAGAATAGTTTGACAAAGTACGTATTATTCATTTTCTTTTTTTTTTTTTTTACACACCTTTGGTGTGTAAGCAGGTTTGTTGGCGAGTGGTCGGGGTGGTTTGCTCCCTCTTCCCTATCAAGCATCTATCTTCCTTATTAAATCTCTTCTCCTTTTTTATGTATGTTACTCTCTTGTAACACATTCATTCTTCGGCACTAAAAATATGACCTTATTGTTTTGCGAGTGCCGTAAAACTCTTACTAAGACCAAAAAGACTTTTGTGTAGTGGTTAGAAGCCTCGCCGTTCTACGAAGAATATTATGTGAGCTCGATTACTGTGTGGGGAGAGAGGAGGGGGTTGTTATTTTGTTTTGTTTTAATCGAGAAACTCCGTCTGCCTGCTGGGTATTATTGGGTATCCATCTCAGTCTGGGTTGGCCCTGACAGACAGGGTCGAAGGAGCCCGCCTCCTGAATAATCTAAATTATGCCGGTGGAATGTAAAACATATTATATAATTAAATTACACCAAAACGTCTTTTCAAGACAAATAAGATCCGAACAGATATTATACATATGGGGTCATTCTTTTCATAGACGGACCTTAAACGATGTCTGATTTTTAGGGGGGGGTGTTTGTTTTGTTTTCTTTTTTGTTGTTGTTTTTGTTTGTTTGTTGTTTTGTTGGGGGGGGGGGTTGTTTTAGACATAAGACAAATCAAGAAACAAACCACGAAAAACAAATGTTCAACTTTTCAGTCGCCATAGCCTTTTTCCCTGCGTGGGTGATGTCTGAACTGTTTTGTCCAAAATGCCTCTTTA